TACTAAAAAAAAACGAATCTGTTTTGGGTTCGCTGGACATTTCTGAATAAGAATGGCTTTATTCCGGCTAATTTATCACAGTTTTAAAACATACCTTTTCGCGCAAAACATTGCCCATCCGACCACTATGGGCCAGTAGAATATTAATTTTTTTTTTTTAATTATTCAATTATAACTTCTATATTTTTTTTAAGTTGTTTTTGACTTTTTTAGCAAAATTAAACTCTAAAAATTGTAATTAACTAATAATAAAATAAAAAATGTTAAATAAAATAAAACAAACGAAAATAAAATAAATAAGGAAAATGAATTAGCAACAAGAGTTTACGGGATGTACATAGCTCAGTGGTTAACGCTTCTGACTTTGAACATCGATTACGCAGGTTCGATCCATGCTGAAGTCTAGAAAAAAGAAGTCTGATGAGGAGATGTGGTGATCTCCGAAATAGCTTCTAGCGCTTAGACTTTGTTGCTTTTTCAATTTTTCCTAATAAACAATCGTGGTACAAAGCTCAATAAAAATATTAAAAAACAAAAATGTTAAAGCATTTTGGTTTATGTGTTTCCTAATGAAATTGTTGTTGAACAAATATTTCTTCGTCTCATTTTCGTTTCGTTTTTTTACATAAACAGAACGCAATTATCTTTTCCTCCATATTTTTCTTTTTGTGGTCAGCTCATAGCCAGCTGATAAATTAGTGAATTTTTTTTTTAGACTAGAGACTTGAGACTGCTTACTGAATTCCAGAGTTAATCAATTAATTTTGCATTAAGATTTGCAAATGAATTTAATTGCTGAAAGTTATCATGTAGATAAGAAAGTTATTATATAAAATGAAGAAAATTGCATAATTAATGCTACAGAAATTTATATTATTTAGAAAGTACAAGTTATTAATGCTCGATTTTTTTTTTTTTTTGTATGGAAGAAAATAATAACGTCAGCAAAAGAAAAATATCAAAAATAAACGCGAATTCATAGCCTCTTGAAACTGGCATGGGCTACGAAACTGCATACTTGGAATTTTTCTTAAAATTACGAATACATTTTTTTGAATCTTTCTACAACGTTCGAAATGTGGGTTTATATGGTGTTTATATATTACAAATTAACTAGACTTTGATAAAAAAAAAATTAATAAACATTAAGCAAACAAAAGAGAAATACATAGTAAAAACCTATTTTACCTATATATTTACACATTACTGTGTGTAATGCATTTTTATAAGCGCTTCCATGAACAATTCGCAGATTATATCGTTTTGTATCGACGACTGATAAATTTATATTGCATTAAAACTATACTGTTAGGAAAAAAACAGCAGTATCAATTTTCGGAATCCAAAAAAAAGTATAACATCGGGTCCTAACCGCCAAAATAACGTAAACGACATTTTTCCCAAAATTTCCTTTTTTACGCAGAAATGCATCTAGATGCTCTAGGAATATTTCTGCACCAAAAAGAAAATTTTGAAAATATTGTCGCTTACGCTATTTTGGCGGTTAGTGCTCGATATGTACTGCAAAATTAAGTATAGATACGAGCATTATACTATGTATGAACACAATTGGAAGATATCGTTCGTTACTTATGTTTCATACAACATAAAAGATGGGCATGGGTTGGAAGTCTTTTTGCATACTTACTTAACTACAGGAAAAAGATAAAAAGTGAAAAAAAACATTGGAAATTTTTAGTATGTAGTTTTGCAACTAGACTTACAACTAGCGGAGAACATAAAAATCTTTATTAATTTTTTTAGTTTTGTCTTATTTTGTATTTGAAGAAAAGTTTTACAAATTAAAAGGGTCTTTTGGTTTCATTACAGGTTATAAAAATTCAAATGGCACTTTTAAGTTTAGTTATGGAATTTTATTTAAATGCGATTTGATTTCGTTTTTTATATATTCCAAAAAAGTGGCAACGCTGTTGCTTGCCCCCTGAAGTTGTTATGTATGAAATATTTAAACGAATATTTTGTGTAAAACCGCTGATTGTTATTTGGTTTAAACAAAGGGTTGCCTATGGGAGAAATAGTCAACCAAAAACGGAAGAAATTGATGCAAATAAAACTCTCGCATTTTTGTTTTGAGTTTAAATTTTTAAATTGCGTTGGTGAAACTAATAGGGTATTTCCACCAATTCTTAGCTGCAGTTCATGATTATAGGAAAAAGGAGATTACAACGCGAAGGGGGTAATACTTAGCCCCTTTTAAGTGCAAGCAAATGAAAGTGTAAGCAGGGATAAAGCGATACCATGGAAGTATCGATACCTGTACTTGGAAGTAGCATCGGATTCCTACTAAGTATCGGACTAAAAGTACCTACTTATATAGATATTTGTACCTACATATATAAAAATTGTTTGTATAAAAAAACGGTATCACATATCTATGAATTTTTATCAAAATAACTTATGTGATTATCATTTTGGATTTTAAACGAATGGTACTTAATCTTTTTAAGAAGAATTTCAAGTTTTGAAACATGTTTTACTAGAATGGACTCCCAAAAAACAAGGAAAAAGTACAAAGTCCAATAAGTTGTTTTTTAAAAAGTCCCCAGAATTTTGTTAACAGAATTTGTTCTTTTTTATGTACGTATTTTATTTGTTATACATAAATATTTATTTTGCACAAAGATAAAGCGATTTAGATCAAAAACAATTATTTTACAAATTATTTCAAACAAACAACAGAATTTTTGCAGAGTAACAATGGTATATCTCTGAAAAAAGTAATCATGTTGATAATTTTTGGAGGACAAAGTTATAGCATTCATATCGCTAGTTTAGCTTTTCAAAACATTTCCTTCAAGAATTCTGCAGAAGATTCCGTTGCAAATTAAAAGATTAAGAATTTTTTGTGAGCTTAACGATTTTTCTATGTCTCTTTGGACTTAGGAAATTCGCCTTCAATTGAATATAACCGGGAAGAAATAAAACAAGGACGTTAGTTGATCCTTTTGAAAACATAGCGTTTTTTATTTTCCTTTTTTCCTCCATATCCAAATATGAGTTTTCACAAAAAGTTGACTTAGCAACTTTTCACTTCAAGCTAGCGATATGTTAATGAGATGATAATAGGTCTTTCTTCGTAGGACTTTCTAAACTAAATTGAATAAATGTTTAGCCATTCACAATAAAAATTAGATTAAAAAATAAAAGTCCGGGGATAAAATTGTCACTGAATCGCGTTTCGATACAAGTACTATCTCCCGATATCTACCCAGTATTCGGTTCAAAAGTATCGATACCAAAATTACTTGGTAGCGGCCGAAAATTATCGAGTATGTACTTGTATTTACTAGTATCGTTTTGTACCTAAGTCTAAGAGCAAAAAGGAAGAAATAAACCTTTCCGACCACCATATGCTAAAATTTTCAGAATTTACTGTTTTGTGATTCGGTTATTGGAACTACCTCAATCAACGCAACTGCCCGAATTATTATCGGTTGCTTTTACCGAGGGCTTATTGTATTCATATATCGACACCTGAGTAGAAGATCGACCTATCGCGGCAGCCAGTTCGAAAATGCCCTATCTCAGAAAACTTTGCAAGAACGCCCTATTTCAGAATTTTTTTGAAAAACATCCTATCTAAGAAATTGGTTGAAGAATGCCCTATCTCAGCTGAAAATATATTGATTGCCAGCTGGAATAGGGCATTCTTCAACAAAATTCTGAAATAGGGGCATCTTGAAAAGTTGTCTGAGATGGGGCGTTTTCGAACTGGCTGCCGAGAGAGGTCGATCTTCCACTCAGGTATCGATATATACTTCCATATCGCTCATTTACTTCAATAGTGTCATAACGCAAAAAACCATAATAGGGCCGATTGTGTTCTTCGTACATTTTATTAGGTATTTATTACTGTACACTTATATAATTAAAGAAAATCGGCGTTATCATGAGTTCCATTTTCCCAGAATCGGTTCACTTTTCACGTTTGGTTTCCATGTATTTACTATGGGCGGAATGAAAATTTATGAGCGATTTCTTTGTTTTGCGAAACTAGTGCAGCTAAACTATCGCAAACTATCGAGTGGCTTCACTATCGATATTTTGCCAGCTCTATTCTCTATCTAGGGTGATTGGAGTGGTGAAATTAGCTGTCTGTGAATCGGTTAGGCAGAGGTGGAAAATTACGCTGGTTGCGAACCGATTAGGAATTTTGCGAATTTAAAACATCCGGCATCATTACAAGAGGCTCATTATTAGGGCTCGGAAGCCAATGCAAATGCATATTTTATTGGGCATCGTCAAAAGGGGATGGTTAAGTTATCTTTACGAATCATAAAATTTCTTTTAAAATGGCATTCAATCGTTAGTTAATATTTTTGCATATTTTCCAAAAAATACCTGTTTATGCATATTTCGCATATTTTATATATTTTACAATAGATGCATATGGTTTTTGCATTTTTTTGTTTTGTTTACAATCATTTAAATTTAGTGCAAGCACTCACTTCTATCTCTGTTAGATCTCAACTAGTGGAAGAGTGTCGGAGAGAACAGGCCTATATGGGACGAGGGGCATTTATATTAACGAGGCAGCGGACGAACTAGCAAGGTACCGTACAGGATCGTATAGGATTACCCAGCAGTTTTGGGTGTCCTACGACCCACTTAAAACCAAAGCTCTCTTAAGAATGAGCAAAAAAGATACCTACAAACTCTCTGTATGACGTATGAGAAATTCATTAAAGCCTTTCTCAAACTATCCATGTTTCTATTTACACAAGATAGTAACTGACTGCTTGATTATAAATAAATTTTCTATATAACATGTACGGTATTTTGAAGTAAATTGATTTCGTTATTTTCTTGTTAAAACGCGTGTGTTATTTATTTTTGTACCGGCAATAAAATGTTAGCAAAATTTTTTTTTGCAAGTTTTACTTTATAAAGCGCAATTTTTGAATCTTGAGTGCATGAGATTCCGAGCCCTGCTCATTATAATACCTATTTCGCTTGTTCTGCCGTGCGAAAGAGTGGGACAACACGTTCATATGTTTATTTGTGTGTATAAATAATTGCTGTTGTTATTTGTTTACTGACAAGAGTCAAAAGTGTAAAAATCAAAAGCATGTAGATTTTTAATTTTGCTAAACGTAGCCAAACATGCCCAAATATTTCGATTGATTTGGAAATTTCTATTAAATAAAACAGTGACGTGGGGAATATGTACTTGTTCAAAAGCCTGCTGGCTGCGGCTGCGAATGTACTCGATACATCTTGAAAATGGGCAAGGATTTAAGGAGGCAACGAAAATCTCTCGCTTTGGAAGCAGTGCAGAGCATCAGCTCTAGATGCTAAATTTGAACAAAAAAAGACGAAATAGGGCAAGCTAACTTTGAAAATATTATATGCATATATGAAACTAGAAGAAAGTTTGTAATTAAATTCAGCGGCCCTAGGTGCTTATGCATATATATATACGTATATACATACCTACATATGCATTCGCTATATTGGATTTGTTCATAAAATGCCCAGCGTGTAGTTTGTGTAAACAAAGAATGGAAGCACAGAATTGTATGTTTGGAAGCATATACATATGTATGTATTGTATGTGCGTGTATTTAAAATAATTGTGGCTATATATTAAAATGCGTGTGTAAGTCTCCACATGGCTGGAGAATTGATATACACAGATCGAATTGTTTATAAAATGATCCAAAGCAGGAAATAGGGCAGGCAATAAAGGAGTGCAGTTGTTGGTACGTATTGATAAAAACAGTATCTATGAATGGAGGGAATTGTTCGCACACAAAAAAGCGAAAAGCGGATAAGAGGAATTTAAATATTTATCAACTTTATATATTTTTCTTCTGATGCATTACATTTTCTCAATAGGTAAAAATGCATTGCGAGGTTTCTACCAATAACTATTAATGGGTCATATAACATACATACATACATACATACATATGTAGATCCCCATTTAAAGTAAGCAGTGAGCAGGCTACTGCAATGGTTTATATTAAAAGGACTTGTTTTGCGTCTACAACATATTAGAGAGAGAAAGAAAACTATCATATTGTGCTGGTGAAGTATGTATGTATATTGTTCGTTCATTTATGCGTGCCCCACAAGAAAAAATGCAAAGGCGTGCAGCATGCAACACAATCATTTTTAAAAAAGGTGCATAGTTACAAGGTACCACGTAAGGACCGACACAATCAGCTGCCTGTTAAGCGGTCCGGTGTGCAAGGCAGTTAAAATTAAACGAGCCTACTTAAGGGGAACTATGTCGAGTTTAATTAGCGACAGTGGAACGTCAGCAGATTTGGATATCAGCAGCAGGGTAGTGGCTGTAGTTTCTGCGACATCGGCTGCAGCAGCGGCAGCCACTGCTTTTGTGGGATCCCCTATTCAGGGAGACACCAAAGCCGCTTGTACGCAGTTCGAAATGTCTGCAACAGCAACACCACCGGTCATTAACACGGATGCAGCAGTTGAAAGGAAAAATCCAACTGACGAAGACAATTCCATCAACGAGAACGGAAATAGCCTCAACCTATCGTTAATGCAATCCTCACCGCCACCTCATAGTTATCGTCATTCTCGAGCCTATCGCCATTTCAAGAATCCTCCGCAGCCACATATGTGCATTCGCACAACCACAGAAGCTGGCGAAGAACTGTTTATCAATGTGCTAAGTTGGACACGAATCGTAATACCACAAGAACCTACTGATCCTATACCTTTGTACGGTGGAATGAGGGTAAATATATATACATACATACATGTATAAATCAACTGCATGCGAAACATCTTACATGTATATCTTGTGTTCTTTAGGTACCGCCAGGGAGCCCACGGAGTCCGCCTATCGTGTTTGCTGTAATGGCGAATCCAGAAGTTCTCAAAGATTCAGGGCGGCACAGCAAGGATCCGGAAGAGCGTAGGGCCATGGTTGAATTAATGTGCGATTTCGTGGAAGCAATGAATCCAGGAGTGAAACTAGTAAGGTATGTTAAGCAATTGTTATTATATTTTGTCATCATATCATTATTAAACACGTTTGGTAAAATTTGTATAAAATATCTTTGATTCCCCTCTGATTAATACATATCGTCGTTTAAAGTAAAAAACCGCGTACGAACAAAATGCAAAACCGCTTATGTGAGGTTTCATAAATTCTTTTCTAGATAGTAAAAACACTCATATTTCAAAATGGTTCTCTTTTTTCGTAATCGCATTTCTGGCTAGCATATTTCAGGGCGAATGGATAAGGCTTGAGCCAAGAGCTTGTGTGAGCAAATCCAGTTTTTGGCAAAAAATGTCAGTTACGCGGTTTTGCAGAACGGCGATAAGCGGTTTTGTGGTTTAAACGACAATATGTACAAATGTGTCTAAAAAGGTGACACAACTCAAAGTTACTCGTTTGCCAGAAAATGCGAAAACCTATTTCTTAGCACATGTTAATCATGTGGGCAAAGGAGACTTTACCTTAGGTTCCTTTAACAAATGCCTTATTTTGAATTGTGTACTACTAAATATACATATCGCTAGCTTAGAGTGAAAAGTTGCTAAGTCCACTTTATGAAAATTCATATTTTGATACAAGATGCTAGAGAAATTAAAAATGCATCGTCGCGAAAATGGTAAAGGTCCTTGTTTTATGTTTTCTCGTTTGTAATTAATGAAAGGAAGAGTTGTTAAGTCCAAAAAAAGCTCCGAAAATTCGATAAGGCCAAAATAGTACGAAATATTTTAGTAAAGATCGAACCCCTCTGATTCGTATGGAGTTTTGCTTTCTTGAAACCGGCAAAATTGTATTAAAAGTTTTGTGAAATTCTATAAGAAGTTTTTTTCCTCCCCTGTATAATTTTTAAATTGGGACTTAGCAACTCTAAGCTAGCGATATGTAACTTAGAATCCAGTTCCTAAATAAGAATTTGTATCCCAGAATTCATTAATAGTATGGAGTTTTACAATAAAAAATTAGGTCATTTTTTCCAACGAAGTATTTTTGTCAAATATATTCTACCTTGTATATTGTACATATACATCGCTACCTAAAGATGAAAAGGTGCCCAGTCCACTTTTTTCAAAATTTAGTTTCAGATGCAGAATGACAGATAATGCGAAACTACATCGATTTTTCGTTTCTCCTCAATAATTTCACAAAATGGACTTGTGAACTTTCTCCTTTAGGTAACGATATGCCAATCGCAATAGTAGCTTTGGAGCCACAAGCCTTTAAAAGTTAAATTCTTAAGATTTTTCAAAATGTTCCACAATTTTTCTTCCGTCTACAATATATGCTTAGATTGCAGTTTCGCGTTCATAATGCTATATGTAAATTAAGGGGTTTTGTATTTAGAATGCATATACATATGTAAATACAATGGCCAGGGAACGGATTTTATGGAATTTGATTTTTTTTTGCTAAAGTGATAGAGTATATTCGATTAAGAATGTCCACGATTTAGTTTTCCCTGATTCCATATATACACATTTGATGTTGCCTTTTTTAAGATATTTGCCTTGACCTGAAAAGGAACGAAACCGAAACCGTTTCATGCACAGGTTTCAATCGGTTTCCAAAAATGTATAAAAATCAGCTGCAGGACCTAGCAACCAAAATTTTTTTCTTCCGTAGCATAACTGTGCCGTTTCATGTGGAAACAAATCACAGATGGCGTAGAGCTACTTGAACCGTCGTACGCTGCCACTAAAAAGCTGCAAGTGGAACAGCTGGTACTCGGAAATTGTTTCGCAATATAGTCACAATGTAAATCTAAAACAAAAAAACAAGAAGGGAGGCCATTTTATTTAACTTAATGACGCGCTTTGGACCGCTATTTTCATGAATCCGCGATATAACATTATTTTATGTACTGCACAGAGAGAAAACTCAGTGCGTGTAGTACCTACGCGCGGAAGAAGTGAAACTTAATAGAGGAAATTCTTCATCTTCACCTTTATCTTCATCTTCATCTTCATCTTCATCTTGTCTTTATATTTGTTTTTGATTATATTCTTGTCTTTGCATTAGTCTTTTCCCGCCCAATTGGCGTTTAACGCAGCTATTCGTTTTCTATACCCATCATATGCTACCTGTACCGTGGCGTTAAATATTTATCGCAAACATAACGGAGCTATAATAATAAGATTTGATTCAATAATTTGAGTTTAACTTTTTAAACAGGTGACCACCCTCTTCAGGCACCTCAAAAATATTTTAATTGTGTTTCTGTAAGCTCTTTCTGTACTGTATAGTATTTTAAGCGTAAGACTTTTGTATAATTTAACTAAATTTTACTTTTGAAACAGGTGGCAACCCTCCCACATTTAGCTAGAAAATACAACTTATTCAAAACCATTTCTTTTGATACCCATATTGGGATAATTCGTTTAACTTAATAAATAATTTGAATTTGATTTTCGTATATATGGCAACCCTTTAAAAGACTAAAACCATACTGCAAATCTGCAGGTCAAGCCCTTTCATGTGTAACCTCATTTTTGAAAATCGTACGAACGATACAGATTTTATGACTTGATGTTAAATATTTTACGCAACCCTCTGCGGCAGAGAAATTTTGAATTCGATATTCTAACATGTGGCAACTCCTTTCATGGAACTAAAGCTACGTTGCACACCCGAAGGACAAGGCCTTTCATGTGACACCTCATTTTTAAAAATCGAACGAACGATACAGAGTTTATGGCTTGAGGTTAAATATTTAGCGCAACCATCTCCGAACTCGATTAAGAAGTTTCACTTCTAAAAGATATTGCGTTACTAACAAATCTTTTCTACAGAATGACTGCAGAGGAAAATACTATGAGCATCATAGTAATGAAAGCTCTGCGGGTTATCAAAATGAGACCAATTCTGAAGACGAGTCAGCTGATTTTTAGTTAATGCTGTCTCAGTTAAAGCTTAAACAGACGGCAGCGTTGATCGGGATTATTTGGGACTTAATCCGGATCAACTGCAGTTAATTCCCGAGTTGATCCGGATCAACGCTGCCGTCTGTTTAAGCTCTTAGACACCAATCGTAATTCCGATTATGTTAGTGGACCGAAAAGTTTTGAAATTATCCGTCGTCTTTTAGTGACCTTTGCCAATCAAAGACGGCAAGAACGAAGTACAATATTGGAAGAATGAGTCTTTACGGAAACCGCACTTAGCTCAGTTAGCTAAAATAGTTTTAGCTGTTCTTGCAACGCAAGTCAGTGCTGAAAGGCTATTTTCTGGTCTAAAATTCATTACCGCCACCTGCGAGAGCCAATTTAAGTAGTAATGTAGTGGGTTCGATTTCTTTGATAAGAACTAATCAATTGTATGGGCTATGAATATTTAAATAAATTTATTAGATTTTGCGAGTGAGATGTGACTCTTCTTAAACAAAATATTATTATTATATTATAATATCAACAATATTTATGTGAAAATCACATTTATATGTATGTATATCAAATACCTATCCATCAACTCATTATTTAATAAATAATATAATTTACATTCTGCACTTAGATCAAAGCAAATGTGGTGGAATATGGTTATTAGTTTTTATAATTGATCCAGAGGTGTTTTCTTAGTAAATCTAAATTAATCACAATGTTTAATTTCGCCAAAAACAAACCTTGGAAGGTACATATTTATAATATATATATATATATATTTTTTTTTTGTCAAATTTGGTATCAGTTTTTTATTCCAAAACCGAAACCGAAACAAATTGTGAAGAACGAAAGCAAAACCGAAACACTTTGCAAAACCGAAACCGGAACGTTATTTTGAATCGGTTTCATTCCTTGAAATAAACATTTCTGAAATAAATATATTTATACCCGAGCGCACTTGTGCACAAGGGTATTATAACTTTGTTCACATAACGGTTGTTTGTAACAGGCAAAACGAATCGAGATAGATATAGACAAATGTATACATAAATGATCAGAATGAAAAGAGAAATCGATTAAGCGGTGACTGTCTGTCCGTCCGTCCGTCCGTCCGTCTGTGCACACGATAACTCGAGTAAAAATTGAGATATCTTAACGAAACTTCGTACATGCACTTCTTTTGGGCGTAGGACGGATGGTATTGAAAATGGGCGAAATCGGACAATAACCACGCCTACCACCCATATAACGGTAATTTTCAGAAATACGAAAACTGCGATATTTTAGTAACTACTGAAGATAATTCACTCAAAATTGACATTTAGAATAACTTTTAGACGAGAAATAAGAACATTAAAAAATTTTGGAAAATGGGCGTAGCCACGCCCACTTATAGTTACATGTGTATATTTTGGTAACCGCTGCACCAATTTCTTCCAAACTTGGCACAGTTGTTGACCCTGGTACAGCATACCAAATGGCCGAAAAATTTTAAAATCGGTCAATAACCACGCCCACATCCCATATAACGGTAATTTCGAGAAATACGAAATCCTCGATAAATCAGTAAATATTAAAGCTAATTTATTCAAAATTGATGGTTGCAACAATTCTTTATCAGGAAATACGCTTATGATAAAATTTTAGAAAATGGGCGTGGCACCGCCCACTTATGATCACATATAAGTATATCGTTAACCGTTTTAGCAATTTGTACCAAACTCGGTATGGTTATTGTGCTTGCCACATAAAAGCGAACCGTTGAAAATTATTGAAATCGGACTAAAATTACGGCCGCTTTTCATATAACGGTAAATTTCAGAAATGCTTGAAATTTCAATATTTCGAAATTTAAGGATGCTAGTTTACTTAATATTTATACACCCGCTTATCATGTAGCGGTAGCTTTCGGAAAGGTGGAAAACATATATTTAATACTTGCGCCGGGTATTTAATGTTCGGCTCCGCCCGAACTTAGACTTTCTTACTTGTTTTTGATTATTTTTCGGTTTTTTGTCTTTTTTAGCGCCTGCTTTTGCGTTTTTTGCGGTTTCTAGTGCCTATTCTGCCTATTTCGCTGTTTTATTTTGCCTTTCCTAGCCTATTATTTTATTTTCCCTTTTTTAGTTTTTTTTAGGTCTTAAAAGTCCGTTCCCTGACTATAGGTCCATTCAATAACTTTTCCAGTAAGGACTTGCAGCGAGAGCGTAAAAGAACAAGTAATTTTTAGCAAAAAACCGACTTCAACTCTCATATAAAAAAAAAATATATATATATATATATCTCATGATCCACTGATCGGATCTCAACCAGATTAGTATGGGACCACCTCTGAGACACTACCTTTCCGATGCAAAAAAAATTATCGATCGGTTGACGTGGTCCAAAGTTATGCGGTTACATACATAAAAAAAAAAAAAATATATATGTAAAAATATATATATATATATACTTAATATTTTAGGCAAAAAATATTTTTTTTTTTCATACCATTATTTTTACCGGCAAAACTGTTGATTATATAGAAAAATGTTATATGAACAGATTAAAGGAATAGTAATTTTTAATTTTTTTAAATTTGTTTGAGCAAAATCGGACTAGTGGTTCTCGAGTTATGTCAAAAAAAGACCACCAAAGGTGACAATTTCCCCTATATGATAGTTATATATATATCTCGATTCCTAGACGTGACACAGCGAAACGCCGGGACACGTATAACTTCTTTTTTACCGATATAACATTTCCCGTTGGTTTCATCCCATCCCAATTTTGACTATCGCATAGTGTTATAAAAACTAAAATCGAAAAACGTTGATGAAGTTACAGATTCCCCAAATTCTGAAACAGCCAAAGGAATGAGAATGAAGAATTCTTTTTAAAAAGCTTTAGAAAAACCTGACATACTATCTCGCATTATGCCAGATTCTAACTGTTTCTTATAAATACTTGACATCCGCATTCGCATCCGCATCTGCGGATGTTAGCTGTTAGATATTCGCATCCGCATTCGGATCCGCGGATGTCTAAAATTCCACATTCGCAACATCCCTAGTACAAAGTATAATATTCCATAACTCCGAACTACAAAATATTGACAATGTATACTTTTCCAAAACGCATTCGAAATGTTATCGAAACGCATCGTTAGAGCAATCAGTGCATCAGAAACAATGTTGATGCTTCGTTTGTTACTGGTTACCATTGGTGTTTTAAAAATGGAAAATTCAGAAAAACTGTTCATTGCTATATTGAATATTTAAAATATGCAATGTGACGCAACTCTGCATATACAAACAGTTTGAATACCGCAGTATAGCGGTATCCAATACGGGACAAATACAGGACATTTGGCGTCCCGTATAAAATAAATAAATTACCAGGACAATGGGTCAAAAAAAAAAGAGCACTGTCCCGTATAATACAGGGCAGATGGTCACCGTAACTATTCCACACGAACACAGATATATATGTATAAGATTTCAAATTCTGTTAAAATAAGCACCCGGTAATTTGCTTTCATTCAGTTATTTCAGGTTGGACAGCGTTATTAGGTACAAATTTATTGAAAATAAATTGTTCAAACTGCTGACCCAGTGTTATTGTTAAAAGTGTGAGGCCAGCAATAATCTAATCTCTTCTAAAAAAAATTTGTTCCTTAACAATTCTAAATTTGTTTAACGCATCAAATGGTTAGTAATGGAACGAATAACTATTCCTAAGTGTGGCACTCCTACTAATAGCCACTTTTTCCCTTTTAAATTCCTTCCGTGCAATTACATGCAGTATCGGTCAAATCTATAGCACGACATTTCAAAGGGATATTGTGTGCCACTTATGCTTATTTATTTATTTTTAAGAATTCTCAATTAAAATACAGTTCTTTCTCTAACAAACCCCATATAAACCCAAGTTTAACAATTTGTAGAAAACTTCAAAAAATGGCAACAAATTTTCACCTAAGTTTCAAACTTTTTTCTCGGAAGTGTTAGAATTTTTTTAAGTACACAGTTTTTTAGCTCCTTCAATTTTAGTCTGATAATGTGCAAATTTCAAGTGGCTACGAATTACCGTTCATTTTTTAGAATTTTTTTTGTCGCATTGGCTTTCATATAATGAATAAACTCAATTTATTTGTATATGGAGGAAATCCGCAACACCTTTGGCGAAAAAAATTCTAAAAAATCAACGGTAACTTTTAGCCACTTGAAACTTGCACATTATCAGACTAAAATTGATTGAGCTATAAAACTGTGTATTCAGAAAATTCAAACACATCCGAGAAAAAAGTTAGAAATTTAGTTGAAAATTGGTTGCACTTTTTTTAAGTTTTCTACAAATTGTTAAACTTGGGTTTATATGGGGTTTGTTAGAGAGAGAACTGTATTTTAATTGAAAATTCTCAAAAATAAATAAACATAAGTTGCACACAATATCACTTTGCAATGGCGTGCTATAGATATGACCGATACTGTATATTCTTTCAATGTCCTTTCCTCAAAGCATAGGCAGACGGCAGAGTTGAGGGCATATAAGTAAGCAAACAAAGCAAGCGAGATTGGGGTCTGCGGTAGCCAAGTTGTTGTTGTTCTAGCAGCATACAATTCCCCCAAAGACTTTTTGGGGAGTGTTGCTGGAGTGACAGTCCTTGGCCAGATATAAATCTGGGTCGTTCCGGTTACGTAGACCCGACTGTCGTGAGGTCTGCGGTAGCCAAGTCGGGAGAGCTGCATACTACAAGGCCGTAGGGTCGAGGTTCAGTCCTGGGTTCGAGCGATTGCCAAAAATGTTTTGTTTTTATTATTTATTTATGTATTTTACTTTTCTTTTTTAATTTTATTTGATCTATTTATTTTTAAATTTCTAGAGTTTGATTTTAATAAAAAAGTCCACAACTTCTATAGTTACATACGTTTAAAAAAATATAGTTATAATTGAATGAATTAAAAAAATAAATAAAAATTCGACTGGTAGTGGGACGCATTACAGCCGTCTGTCAATTTTGATCAGATCAACTTCGCCGTCTGTAAAATTAATTTCGGTCAAAGTAATATTTTCTGGTAGCTCAAGTCGGCATTTTATGTTTTTATCAGTTAATAAAAGTTGACCACTCTTCGCGATTTAAATTAATTTGGCAACTGTTGCAGTTGTCACAAATAACAGGTGGGAAACTGTTAGCCACTCGCTTTTACCAAACCCTTTGTGAACTTTTTACATACTGAATTTTAATTAAACTATTCAAGTGGTAACATAAAATTATTTTGTTGTAGAAACGCTGTTATTTTAAGGGATCGCGATATAACTGGAGAGCTAAAAGATGTATGGAATGCGGTACAAGCCCAAAGGGATCGAGAGCGTGAAGAGCAAATTATCCAGCAACGACAACAGCAACATTTTCACAATGTCACCACTCAACAGATGTTTCCCAAATCTACAGAATCAATACGAAATTCAGAGCAAAACCTGGACAATAGCTCATATTCGGAAAAGGTGAACAAAACACCGCTTAATAGTCTAGCTGAGAGAACCATGGTTAGGAATGATTCTCCGCTATTAGGTAGCGAAAATTCTGCCTCGAGACAAGATTTCGATCATAATAAAATTAACGCTATGAACACAAACCACTCAAAGGAAAGAAGTGAATTGTGTGCCAAGGCTCTAAACGAAGAAAATGCAAGTGGCGGGTTGGAATCGCCGAGCGCATCCACTGACGGAAAGGACCAAACAGATGCTAGCTACAAGTTGTCGGCAAAAATCGGTGTAGAATGTAATACAAGAGCATCATTGAAAAAGTTTTCCAGCCCACAAACAATTGGATCCGAAAACAGTGAGGCTAAATGTGCTCAGCCTGTTAATCAGTCACTATCTGCAGTTTCTTGCTCAACAGTGACGACAGAAACTTCTACTAATATAAGAAATGCAATCACCGTTTCAAATTCACTCACAACATCCAATTCTACAAAAAATGCGCTGCTGGTCCCTACTTTAGGTTCAACGACGACTCCGACAAAAAGAGATAAGCTGGTTGGATTTTTACCTAACGGATGCATATTTCCACGCTTTAAGAACAACAAGAACAAAGAAAAGGATAGGGACAAAGAAAAGGAGACCAAGACAAAGGATAAAGAAAAAACTCTTCTGAATGCTTTAAAAAAAAGTAAAGATAAAAAATCTGTGCCAGTTGAAAATTGTGAAAAAACATCAGTAGAAACGGATTCTAAAATTGCGTACGAAAAGAACTGCATTAGTTTAGAGACTGAGGTACAAAAATTAGATCTGAATAAAATCGAAACACCCGCCAGTGCCGACAATATGTTCGTTAAGCTGAAAATTACTAGCACCTCAGCAACAGCAAAATAGACAGGTATTGTCTCATGTATTACTTTTCATATTTATGTTTTTTTTTTTTTTTTGTAATATGTAGTTAACATCATTGGATAGATATACAGGTTTGTATATAATATCAAAACATAGACTTTCAATTTAAGAAGATTGAGATAGACAACTGGTCTGCGATCATTGGTAAGATTTTTGTAAAATTTTCATACCATTAGATAAGACTAGTTTTAAACTTACATTTTATTAAGATACATACATACATACATATCAAACCCTAACCGCAAATTTGACGTACCCAAAAAAAATATGTATAGACTTCAAGTTTGCTTTACAGAGATCGATAATCAAGCAGTCTTTCATTGGACCTCACCTTTTCGGCAGCTCTGTCCCGGGCAAGCATATTAAAATATGTAATAGGAAATGTACAAATCCGTGGAAATTTTCACTACGTTTTTAATACTATTTCAATAACAGCGTAGGGAAATATATATGTATAATTACGGAGTCAAAAGCTTTAATATGCATAACTACATACATATGCATGGGTGTTTCCGTGAAAATGTAAACATGCCATTTTCGCAAGATATTTTCATTTTAAGTTTGCATTGTGAATGAAAAAATGCCAACTTTAACAGGAAAAAATCTAAAAGCAAGAACTTTTTTTGTAACTTCTTTGGATTTGTGTTAAAGCCTGTTCTTTTAAAAAACCTCAAGCTACTAACGAAGAAAATTGATTGATAAATAAAGTTTTAAATGGTCAAATGTAAACGCGTAATAATTTCTTTTTTTATGAAATATGACTAGGAACGAATGCGAACCCATACGCCATGTATGATGTATTAATGAAATCTTATGCATTTATTAAAGGCCTGCAAATGTTGAAATATGTATAAAACATAGCGACAAGTGTCACATCATGCAAGTGCCAATTCATAGTATGTCGCTCATACATTTTTGGCAGTGACATATGAAGACACTGTCGAATAAATTGAAATCAAATCATGCATGTCAACACAAGTGACAATACACATAGTCGGCAATATTAATTACATTAGGGGTATTCACGATCCGGTGCATACTGTGTAGCATGGTGCATAGATAGCATGATTGCTGTTGTTTCATCTGTTCAAACAACAACAAAATTAGCCAATCATGCTATTTATGCACCATGCTAGACAGTATGCACTGGATCGTGAATGCCCCTAATGTAATTAATATTGCTGACTATATATATATATATATATATATATATTCATACAAAGCAGGATCAAACATGCTTGCGATGGAATGACCACACCTTGTTTGAGATGACATGACATAGCAATGCATGAAATTTTTTAAAATGACATTTTTACCGAAAATGTTGAACTTTCCAGTACTTTAGTATGTACCCAGTAGATAATTTCAGGAGTTAGAAGTCCTTCCGAAAGACCTTCCTGAGAGTCAAGAGGCCTTCCTCTCTCGAATTCCTTTCTTTTTTGTATGGAGTGGCACAAATTGAAGGGCTTCTTCGTTTGCTACCGGTGGAACGCCTTCCAGAAGGGCTTTTATAGGACGTACTTCAGATGGCAACTTAAAATGTTCATTGAAATTCATTTGTAATGCTAAATAATATAAATTTGTGCATTCGCGAAAATTGTAAATGAATAAGCCCTTCTAGAAGGCATGCAAGGCAGCACTTCACCCCTTCTTGGGTAGGCCTCTTAGAATGTCTTCAGTTTAGAAGGTCTACCTAAACTATCTTCTGGGTATGTATAATCGGCCCATATTCAGCATAGGGCCGATTGTGTGAAGATTAGTACGCATTTTTATTCGACGATTTACCGCTTTATTTTTCGATCAATTTTCTTCGTCGGTACCTTGCGGTTTTGGTAAAAGAACAACACAAATCTAAAGATTTTACAAAAACAATTTAATTTTAAATTTTTTCCCGGTTAAAGTTTACATTTTTTCATTCACAATGCAAACTTAAAATTTAAATATCTTTGATAATTCTATTTTGGTTTTTAACGAAAACAAATTCAATCGTTAATTCTGAAGCTGTAGCATGCATTTAGGTGCTAGGTGTTAACAGTAAGCTGGCAATGGCATACAACAACAACTTTTCGTTGATTTTTATTTTATTTTTTCAATGTTAACGATTGAGTTTTATTTCGTTAATTTATCTCTGAAACGTATCGATATTATTTTGATAAGTTATTTTTTTTGCGCATCAACAAAACGAAATAGATTCATATATGTACACTTACAAAGGTCTCTTTTTATGCGGATTTGAATTTATGCGGTTTTTCGAACCATTTTTTCGCTGTAGCAATTTTACTTTTTTGAGAGTTGTTATTACTTTTTTCAGTGAGTAACAGACAATGCTTCCGACAACACTGGATCACAAATTTACCCCCTTATTCTAGAACCCGAATTTTCGTAATTCGTAATTCGTAGCTACGCTCCAAAAAACGAAAAATCCACATGCTGCAACCCTTGCGGAAACATGTGCAGCATAGCCAGCTATCAGTTGCTTTTCGAAGATAGCTGAATGAAGGAAAACAAAGTGGAAAGGAATTAAAAAAAAAACACTCACTCTGATGTATTTGCAATTATAGCAGCAGAGTAAGCGGGCGGCCGCTATGGCAATGGATTCACAGAGGTATGGTTTTCGCACAAAATTACGCAAAAAAGTTTGCTCATTCGTTTTTAGGCATGCCATTGTTACGAATTTCGAAAACGCGAAAATACGATTCGGATTGCAGCATACTATTTCTACGATTCGTAGCAAAATCCGAATACGAAAGAGTTGCAGAATAGGGGTGTTAGTTTGGTTTTTGTTCTCCAGACGCCGTTATCCAATTTCTATGTACAATTGTCCGGTGATTCCGAAAATCGAGTTAATTTTTTTTCTATGGATACGTTTTCGAGATATTTGCAAATTGCACCGTTAAACTTCATTTGCCCTATATTTCTGGCACCGAATCATGTAAAATGGATATACACATATTTCTCAAACAGTTTATCATCGAAATTTTGTGTTTTGTCAGGAAAACGGCAAGCAAAATTAGACAAAATATCCAGGTGTTTTAGAAGTCGATCTTGCAAATGCGTAATGATAACGATCCTAGGTACGGTGTGTAAATCGCGATTCGGTAATACTCTTCAAAAAGCTTCCGAGGGATTTGAATCTGTTGTATTTCGTTAACTTGTATGAGCGAAACTAAACGATACCGAAACGTTTGCTATTGTTTGTTTGCGTTCTCTGGCTCGTTTTTTGATGATATTCATTGAATTATTTTGCCAAACCATAACTAAGTAGAGAAGCGGGGGGTATTCTGGGCCACATAAGAAACATTTTTGTAGAAAGCACCAAAATCCGAATTTTTCCTCAGTTTTAATGGATAATCTGAGATTCATGGCTTTGTATTTTAGAAAAAGTGAGGAACATATTGAATCAAATATTTGAACTTTTATTATAGGTGCTACACCAACTTTACATTGAATGCTTGTACGAAAATAGATATTTCATCATAAATTCAAGTTCAGCATTTCAACTACAATCTATCAATATAATTTCCTTTTTTTTCAAAAGGCGTTCATGCCGAAAACTAATCACCTGAACCGGTTTTTCATGGCAGAAATACACTCGGAGGCTTGCCCTGCCTGCCTGCCGAGGGGCGATCGCTATTACATAGAAAACACTTTTTCTTTTCTTTTTTTTTGATGTTAGTGGGAACCTGGGCTGGTGGCGCGCACTGCTAACCACTACACCACATCGGCCGCAGTTATTTATTGCATTTCGCCTCAATTGCATATATATTTGTCATACTCAGTTATTATAGCTGGTAGTTGGCATTCCAACGAGTTTAAACATAGATAATTAAGTTTTCAAAAAGTTTTGAAGTGACAGAAATAAATCTGTATTGTTTCGGTAATGTTATTGTATGCAGTGTTTGTTAAACAATTTATGTCTAAATTGTTTGGCTTCATAGATAACAGCAAAAGATATTGTATTTGTCAATGTGAAAAACAAGCTTTATGTAACTCTTCCACTGCCAAGTATAGACCAAATGTCAAAACTGCCGAAGAGCAAATGAAGTTAGCTGCATATACAAATGTGTACACATGTGAAAAAATGCGTACATACATTCGTACCATAAAAGCTATCCTTCATAAGTTTTATTTGACTATTTATTTTAAGTAATTTTTAAATTGTGATTTTATTTAATAAATGTATTTCAATAAAGGTCACTCATCCATATACATACATACATTTTGTATAAAAGTACTTTTATGTCAAATTTCTGAGATTTTCATACTTAAATGCATATATTTTTTATTATTGATAAGTATGTATGTATGTTTTGTGTCTTGAAATTTGTCTTATGCCCCTCTGATTTAAAATTAAAAAAAAATAAAATCTAGTTGTAATAATCAATAAAATACAAGTAATTTTTAAGCGAAAAACATAACCGACTTCAATTCTCATATAAAAATTTACGAGGACCCTTAATTTCTTCATGATCGCATTATCGGATCTAAATCGAAATTAGTATGGGACCACCTTTCCGATAAAAGTCGAAAAAATATATTCCGACGAATTGATGACCTTCTCCTTTTTTTGAAGTCGGTTAAAAATACAAATTCATAATATGCAACTTCAAATGTAAATAAAGTGTATGACAAGTCAAAAGTTTAATTGTAGTAACTACTTGGTAACATATACATACATACATGCATAACGGTGCCTTAATTCACAAAGGTCCTTTTCACAGATTTTGGAGAATGTATTATCACACATACACCTTCAATAAAAATTATTAAGTGTTTATACCAAAATCAACGGAGCCACTTTTTAAAAAGCCCGTTTTTGGTACTCTTTTTGTAATGTTTTTTTTTGCTTCACCGGTAAAGTAAAAAAAAGGCTGTTCATTAGGCCCTTTGTGACTAAAGGCAACGATATGTACATACATATGTATGTGAGTAACGATAACTAAGCAAAATCTATGTAATGCAGAAAAAACGAGTATGAAACAAAATATGTAGAACTATAAAAAAAATTAGAATTTAACATAATATATAAAGATTTATGAAGTCAATAAGGAAAGTACACAAAACTTTAAAACATACATATGAATTAGTAAGTTTGTAACTTTATATAAAAATTAATATAAACATAATTAAACACATATATATAAATCTCGATTTTTCTTCGACGCTCATAAAAGTTCACAAGGATTGAAAGTCCGGCGGCCTTAAAAGTGTCAATAGATGTGGATTTTCTATTACATGACAGAGGGTAAGTGTTATTGCAAAATATGTCAAGAAATAAAAAAACTTTGCACTTTTTAAGAACATTTATTTATTTAATGGCTTTCTGCTTTGTAGAGATTGAAGATTAAATAGGAGCTATACTACTTACTTTACATATGTACATGGTTCGCTTAAATAAATATACATACAGTGGTGGAGAAATAAATAGGGACACGTCATTTTTCCCATTTCTTTTTTGTTCATTTAATATTTGTTATTTCTTTATAAAAGTATAGCTCATTATCTAACAAAAACCATGTAAATTCATATTTCAAACTTTGCGCAAAAATTATAATTCTGCAAAATTGCATCGAAGTTTTCAACCTTTAAATCAGATTTTATAGTATTTTGAGTATGTACATAGTGTTATAGCCCATTAAAACATAATACATTCAGAATAAAAATTAGCAAAAATCAACGCGATTTTTCAGGAACTTGCACTTTATTGTACTTAAATTTAATGTGCTATAAAACTGCATACTCGAAATTCTAAAAAATCTGATCTGGGTACCGCTTAATAAGTGGCCTAACTATTTCGGGGTATTGCGTCCAAAGGGGTGACCCGATCCAAAAAAAAAATTGCACACAAGTCATAGTCAAGAGTCTACACATTATTTTAACACCTGCTTTTGTAATTTTTGGTAACTAATTTATTTACAAATTGGGTTTGAAATATGCCCTTTTTTGTAAAATTCGGAAATTAGCGTACATTTATTTAGCACTCCTATTCTCTTTAAAGCAGCCACTTCACCAATATATTTATATATTCCCCTTCACTTTACACTTTATTCGATTAGTTAAAACTTTCTTTATTACTTTAATATTAACCAATTAATCACAATTCATTAAACACCTTCAAAATTACGCGTCTCAGCTGTCAAACTCCAAAATATCCAAAAAAAAAAAGAGAGACAAAAGAAGATAGGATATAACCCAGTAAGCATTAAAAATATAAAAAGGTGTTCAGCTTCTTTTCTTCGCAAAACAGAAAGAGAATTCTACTTTGTGAGGGTTATAATCCCTAAGTGCGGCCGAAGGCCGCCTACGCAATAAGGTGTTCTCTACTGAAGGTGTTCAGCCCTCTTCTTTCGCCTGATAACCAACTTGGGATAATTTCTTTCATTTAAAAACCCCACAGATTCTGTTAGTTGGGTTATATTCTACTTCAAACCGCTCAGTTTGCCTCGGTAAATGCCGTTCTTCGCCCATTTTCAAACGGTTCGCTAGGGGTCTGTGGGAGGCCCCGCAGGGGGGGGGGGGGGGGCGGCTTTCCGTAAAGTGGGGACTGTCCCCTTTCGAATGAGAGGGGTTTAGGAAGGCACAGGGTGTCAGACGAAAGAGATTTGAAAAGATTTCTGTTTGAAAATAGGTGGAAGAAGGCTGTCACCTGTTTTAAAAGCCGAATTTAGTTAACCTATACACAAGTTATACGAAAAAAAACGAAAGAGTGCTAAGAAATCTTGATATAGTTTAAACATTAGATTTTTTTTTAGGTTTTGGGGGGGGTTGCCAGATGTTTAAAGTGTTAAATTCAAATTATTTGATAAGTTAAATGAATTAATAAAAGATGTTTATCAATCGAACGCCACGTGGTTAAAAAACAAATTCAATTTAATTCATTAGTTACGGCACTAGTTATACGGCACTACGGCACTAGGTATATTTTAGTGTGCTTTATTAAAAATAACAAAATTAGTTATTTTAAACGACAAAAACAATACATTTAGTAGCATTAGAAAGTTCGTTGTATGAGATCTGGGCCTTCGCTTTTGTCAGCCAAAAGTGTAAAAAAGCATAAATATGACTGCAAAAACATAAATAGGGACGGGACGTTTTCACAAGTTTTGCATAATCTTTTTTGTTTGTTTAATGTTTAAAATTTTTCTATGAAAGTATAGTTCTTATATGACAAAAACAATGCAAGTCCAAATTTCGAGTTTTTTACTTATATTTCTTAGACAATTTTTGAGTGTGCACTTTTGTAGTCCATCAAATTTTAGTATAAAGTGCAAATTTGAAGTAGCCAGGGCTTACCGTTGATTTTTGGTAATTTTGTCAAAGGTGTTGCTCATTTTCACATATGAGTGCAAATCTCTCAAGTGGGCCACCCGAAATTGGATGCTCAAGAAAAAAATATATAATTTGAGCAATTTTGCATAATTCGAATTTTTACAAAATTTAGTGTTATTAACTTTTTTTTATGGATTCAGTAATTTATAAAAATTGTATGTTAGAAGGCCGGTCTGATCTAAGTGTTTTGTGCAAATAAAACTACGTTATTTCACTTTCTGGCCCAACGTTTCGCTCAAAACATTTTTAGCTTCTTCAGGGGCAATTCCGTTTAATTAAATCTGTTACGAACCATAAAATACGAAAACACATAACCAAAAATAATAAATGGAAACATAGACACACGTACATACATATATGGAATTATATGTATACATAGGTACATACATAGGTACATATATAAATATGCGTGTTATGTATGTACATATTTATGTATACAACTTTAAAAAATATTGCACTCAATAACCTATGCTTATGTTTATAAATAAACTTTATTTTTTTTTGCGTTCTCTGGATGCACCACGCTCGCGCAAGTCCGCGCGGCACGCGGCATGAAAGCAACAGCACCCGTGGCAGGAGCGAAAAAAATTAATAACTAGCGACTCCGTGCAAGTTTCCGTGTGTTTTTTTCTTTTAAATATATAATAAATAATTACTGAATTCATTAAAAAAAAAAAGTTAATAACACTAACTCTTATAAAAATTCGAATTTTGCAAAATGGCTCAAATTATATATTTTTTTATTGTTGTAAACCGAATAAAGTGATTTGTGTGAAAAAATCTTGACCATCCAGTTTTAGGTGCCCCACTTGAGAGATTTTTTTTTACTCATATGTACATATAAAAAAAAAGTTCGAATATATTTTGTAATATTCACGGTCACGCAAGTAATTATGAATTCTTGAAGTAGGAATCATAAGTCCCATACATATGTATATAACGAAATAAAAAAGTAATGTTAAAAGAGTTGCCATAGGATCGCGAAAGTGACCACCATCCATCGATTGTGGTGATATTGATAGTCCCATAGATAGTTTTGCAGCCCAACAGGCGCTTAACCTTAAAACGAAAATCGTCTCACTTAAGACATAAATCGCACAAAAGTCAGAAAAGTGTAAAAAGTCATATTATTCAATAAATCGCAAACAAAAATATTCGTTTTCCGTTGTAGCTTACTAATATTTCCTAAAGCGGACTTCATTTCTTCGCCGTCCCCGCCTACTTCCAAAATACAACATTGAGCTAAATGATAAATAATAAAAAATGAACAAATTATAAATTATAAAAACGTTGCATAGTGTAAATGTATTTTATTTTTTATGAATTTCAGAGCTACTATACTCGCATAGATATACTTACATATGTATATGTACATGTACATATGTATGTATGTACATGTCAACACTTACAATAAGTAATATAAGTTCTTCGATATTCACATTTTATATATCTACATACATACATATGTATGTATGTATGTCTCTACATTAGGTGATTTTAGGGCCTTCTTGATTTCAAAGTTTAATGTACATAAATAAATTAGCTAAATTAAAAGGAATTGTCTATTATGAAATCATAATGATAAAACGTCGGTGTTTCGGAATACGAAAACCGCTATCAATCTTTGTTGTTCACGGCCCGTAATTGCTCCAGTTCCTCTCTTTCCTTCTTGTTGCGCAATAATGGCACATTGTAATCGAAGGCGTAGAAAAAGCCATGGGGTGGCCCAGTTTCTTCTGGTCCAGGCACATATGGTGGCTCCTGGTGAACATACTCCTTGTACTCGGATTCAGCGGGCTCATTGCGTGGCTGCTGATATTCAGGTGCAAATGGATCGGGATTTTGGCCATTGGCAGCTGCAAGTTCGCCCCACAGCTTGAAATGTTCCTCCTCTGCTTTTCGAACGGCTGGTGTTTTTGTGGCCGGTTCCTTTAAGTGCGCTGGCCGGTTATCTTCAACATGGAATCCCGTTTGGTCGGCATAGTACTTAGCGACAAAATCACGTCCAGTAGGCTGGACATATTTGTATGATCCGCTCACTGTGCCCGCACCGTCCTTTTTTTCATTCTTACCCTGATTCCAGTCACGATAACCATACACGTACTGGCCCAAGCCGTCCTGCCCGTGGTACTGGTGCGCGTCGTAGTGTTCCTCCACATACTCCTCGGGGTGATCTATCACTCGCCCCATGTACACAAACTCGCCCTTTTCATTGCGAGCTTCGGGCAACTCGTTCTCCCCAGTCTTTGGAGAATAATCAATGCTATCCAGACCTCGCAGATTCGCGCTATTCAAGAACTGTTGCGCCTCCTCTGGCGTAATATTAATTTTGAAGATGTTTTCAGCAAGGAGCCCACCTGGTAGAGCCTAAGGTAAGAAAGGTGAGAACAGTAAACCATCTTCAGTTGTATCGTATTTTATGAATGAAAAAAGGTTCGCAACTTAAGAATTACTATTTATTTAATTATTATATTTTTCTGAAACCTCCTCTTACTTGTTGTACTATAAATGATCGTAGATCTTATTGTACTAATGTTGTCTCGCAATAAATGAATGAATGAAATGAAATGAAACTCCAAACATTCCAAACTCGAATTTTTGCTAAATGCATAGCCATAAATTGCCACTACAAGGCCATATTCAGAAAAATATCTTCGTAAACTGGAAAAAAAATGTATGTGTGGGTGCATTCGAAGGCATCAGTCTCCTTTATTTCTAAACCTCAGCAGATTGTAATGGAAAATGAGGGCACCCACGGTTAGATGCTAATTTTCAACTAGGTTGCGCAGGTTAGACCTTTTTTTCTAGTTCGGTTTAGAAATAAAAGAGACTGATGCTTTATGCTTTGACGTTTTCGAATGCACCCTATGTCTATTTTGATATTTAAATATGTGCCTCAGGATAAGTAACGTTATTTGTAACAGACGTATCTAAACAGTGAGTAATATTATTTTCAGTTTTGTCCCTTTAATTGATTAGATGAGAGGAAAATTCACGGGGTCATAAATCAAAAAATTACACAGCCCAACAAAAAGGGGAAACATTTGGTGCGGCAATTATTAAAACTGCTTTTGATAGGCTTTGTTTATACTGTATTACGAATCCGTAAGTATTAAGTTTCCATAAGCTTCAGATTTGGAGAAAAACGAGTTGAAGAAAGTGTCAAAAAATCGCGTTTTTTGCATAATTTGAGAAGCTCTAGCAAAAAAAACAAAAGGTGCTAGAACCTTCCACTTAGGCTTAAATTTAAGCCAGAGCTCTTGACAACTATCTACCAAAATACCGTCGCTGCAGGTTGATCTTATGGAATGGCAGAAACTGATTTTGGCGAAGTTTGAGGACCTACCAGAATAAAACTAAAGGTGAACTTTCGACTACAATCCCTGAAAATACCAATTATGCATCTTGACCCTAAGGTCACTTATAGTCAAAAATTGATTTTGGCACATATTTCTTTCTTACAATACCACAATACTCCAGTATTTTGCTATTGTTCAATAAATGACCATAAGTGACCAACGGATGAAGGCGAAGTGATGCTATTTTCAGGGATAGTAGTCGATAGTTCTTGCTTTAAGGTGGAAGGTTCTACCACCTTTTGTTTTTCTTTTTTTTGCTAGACTGCAAAAAACGCGATTTATTGACACTTTGACCAAGTTTTTCCCAAAAATTTGAGCTGATGGAAACTTTATACTTACAGATTCGTAATCAGCACAAAAAATTCTTGTCAAAAACCGCTTTAACATTTGCCGCACCAAAATCAGTGTTGCCCTGTGTTATTTTTAAATACGCAATAAAATATTCAATTACAAAAAAAAAAAACTGTTTTAAACCCTTGTCTGTTACTGTATATTTATGTAGATAGACTTCGTAGTAAAACTAAAGTTTCGTGTTATATCTAATAATTTTTTTTTTTGCACAAACAGGTTCTTAGCTCTCCCGAAATGTTTAGATTTTTGAAGTGCGACTCGTTTTTGTAACTAATGTGCGATATGTGCATACGAATTGCATCATTCGCTAAAAATATGAACAAATGAGTAACGATGGATCCGTTTATCTGCTTTCGATGTATAAGTTAAAGTGGCTCGAATCAAAACTTGGCAAAATGAGTTTTGTTTTTTCAAGACGACCGCACACCGGACAGGTTTCTACAAATAATACGTGTTTCTCGGTTATTTTTTAATCGCTATGACTAAATCGTTTCTTCACTTCGAGAACGATTCTCGGGAGTTACACATTTTTAAAAAAACATACACCAACTTCAAACTAACCAGTAGGCAGACAGCAAATATTATTTTCATTTCGCTTTAATTTACCACCGATTAAAATTTTATAAATGATTTAGTTATATTAGAATTTATGTAGATAGTTATATTAAATTTCGATTGCGTTACGACTTCACACCACTGCTGTCGATTTTAGAATACGGTTTGATTTGGGAACTAAGCGCTTCTTATATTGAAAATGAGGAGAAACACCCAAAGATAAAACGCAAAACTGAAAAATAACGCAAAAAAACGATAAACAAGTAAAAAACAATAAACAAGTAAAATACGAATTAGCAAATATGTAAATTAACTCGTTACTAGATGAAGATGCTCCCAGCTATAAACAGACAGCATCACCACACCGTGTCAAACAAGACAGCTACGGACATCTGTATGTATGTATATTCATACATACATATGTACATTAAATGTAAGCTTCGAGAGAATAACTTGCCGCTGCCGGCTTCTTACTCAGGGCTACAAAATTCTACGTCAATCTAAGCCACACAATAGGCAAATTACTAACTGACTAAGTAAGTAGATAGATAGCCAGTGTCCGAAAGCTGCTGCCAATAGCGATTTCACTTACACGCTCTTCGTTTGCCATAACGTCACAGGGGTGGGCAGAAGGGTTGCCGTTTTCGGCCTGCCCTACCAAAATTGGTAGGTTATTTCTCGTTGGTAGAATGGTAGGACGCTTTAAATTTTGGTAGGTTTCTTTGCTCAACAAACAGAAAACATCTCTGGTTGGTTGTAGTGTGTCACTTTGTCAGCACTGTGAGTAGGCTTGCCCTAGTGGGACAATATCAGTTTTACCCTCATTCTGTTTCTTGGATGGGTCCTGTTTGCCATTATATCAAATACCTTAAAAAAGAAACTCGTTCTTTTTAATGCAGTTGTAAATCGATAATAGTTTAAACAATGACAAGGTTGTTAAAATATTTTAAATGACAAACGGACCTCAGATTCGAATTCAGCAGGTCGAAGTACATGTCGGTAGTTGGACAGAAATCTTATTTTAAGTATAAACACCAACAAAAATAAATGTATTTAATGCTGTCAAATGCCGTTTTCTTAATTAAAAGAAATGGTAGGAAAGGAGCCATTTTAGTAGGTTTTTAAACCAGAGTACCAAGAGTACAAAAGAAAGTTTGTCAGTGGTAACCCTGGTGGGTAGATGTTTACAACTATTAGATTCCTGATCATACAAACATACATACATATATATGTATGTACATATGCACATACATACATACATAGTACATACATGCTATGTTTACAATTAATTACCTTCCACATATTGCGCACCGTTAGTTCAGTCATTGATTAATGTAATTTCAATATTTATTATTCCTACGTTTTCCTGAATTTATAATTAATTTCCTCCTTTATGGTCGGAAATTATTTCTATATACATAGTGCTGTAGTGCTGGCTTGAATTTCAAAACAATTACTTAACTTAACTTGGACTTATACATATAGATATATACTTATAAGCGCCTAAGGACATCACTTCGGCTCATCCTTTTCGCTCGGGACAAAATAATTTGAATCTAAGTACATACATACATACTTGTGTAATATCACTTATAGATTAAAAATATGCATATGTATGTATGTACAAACATTCCCCTGCAGTACGGGGG